TAAAAGAAATTAATATAATAATTAACATGTAAATTCTAAATTAATAGAAAATTTTATTTCTATGGTATGTATTCAAAACATATACTTGTTCAAGTTCATTAATCTATAATTTATTTAATATAATATAATCAAACAAGTTGTTTATAATAAATGAAAAAATGTAGTAGAAAAAATATAAGAAAGTGAATAAGTTATTTAAACTAGTATATGGATACTCAATAGATTGTCCTCCAAGCCATGTTAGTATGATAGAAGTATTAATAAATATCCAGTAAACGTACTGATTGATTGGGTAAAATTTAAGTCTTTTCATCTTGTTGCTATTTATTAATGGAATAAGAAATAGAATAAAGATCGATATAAAGAGTATAATCACTCCTCCTAGCTTGTTTGGGATTGAGCGTAGAATTGAATATGCAAAAAGGAAGTATCACTCAGGCTTGATATGTGCTGGAGTAACCATTGGATTTGCCATCTTAAAGTTATCTGGATCTCTTATTATATAGGGATTTTGAAGATTAACTGTCATAAAAACAATTAGTACTAAAAAAATAGTGATTAGATCTTTAGTTATAAAGTAAGGGTAAAATACTACCTTATAGGTATTTATTTTAGAAACGATAGGATTTGATGAACCAGTAAGGTGCAGGACTATGAGATGAATAAATACCAATAACATAATTAATAGAGGAAGAATAAAGTGAAGGGAGAAGAATCGGTTAAGAGTAGAATTATTAATAGAGAAACCTCCTCATACTCATTTTTTACAATAGATTGGCCGATATATGGGATTGCAGATAAAAGGTTAGTAATAACTATAGCTCTTCAGAATGACATTTGACCCCATGGCAGTATATATTCCAGAAATGCAGTTGCTATTGAAACAAATATAAATGAACTTCTAACAATTCAGACTATACTTATCTTGAAAGAGTAGTAGAACATGTTTCGCCAGATGTGAAAATACATTAGTATAAAATAGAATGAAGCACCATTCATGTGAACCAATCGGAAAAGCCATCCAGACTTAACGTCTTTTATAATATATGAAATTCTTATGAATGCAAGGTCAACATTTGGACAGTAGTGTATAGAAAGAAATAGGCCTGATAAAATCTGAATCATGAGGAAAACACCAAGTATTGATCCAAAATTTCACATATAGTTAATATTAACAGGAGTGGGTAAGTATACGAATGATATAGGAACTCTGAGAAACTTTCTTGTTGCAATAGAATTTTTGAACTTTTTCATTAAAACTTCTTGTTTCGGAGTGATTTCTTTCTCACGAAACAAATCTTTGAGCAAACTAACAGCATTATTAGTATGAAAATAATTACCAAAATCATGACGTAGTAATTAGGGAATATAAACATTTTAGTAAAAAGTGATGATTCATTCTCCAATATTGGTTCAAAGTTCTTTAATAGAATATCGTAATTGAATAAATAGGATATAGATAAAAAAGTAGTAGAGTAAAAATAAATGGCGATGTAAAGGATTAGATTTTTACTTCCAACCTCCTTTACTAAGTTAACCAGAGATACAAAATATGAAAAGATAACTATCATTCCTCTAATTATAATTATAAGAATCATGTATATGTACATTGAAAGATTAGGCTTACCAAAAAATAGGCTGACCGACATTGACAAAGTAAATAAGATAACTGAAATAAGGTAATGTATTGGATTTGAAGGAGTATTAAACAGGTAAATGCATATAAAAATTAATATGAATAGGTAAGATCTTGTAACTAGAATAAGATAAGTTGCTGCAACTATTTTCATTATAATCCAAAAAGTAGTTTAACTCAAAACAGTAGTTTTGGAAATTATAGATAATTTTTTAATTCTTTTTGATACATGGAAACTTTAAAGTTACATAGTTTAATGTAAAACGTTAGTTTGTAAATTAATAATTAAGTGATTTTATGTGACTGAGTAATGAAGCTACAAAGTTCAATTGGATCATCAGCTTTGTAGAACTGATAATTGACAACGCATCAAAGTAATTGATAATGATAAATAAATTGTATTATAAATATTTGATTAAATTAAACTAGAATTGTGTATTCATTCCTTTTATTAACAATAAAATGCCTCTATTTTGGCTTTAATTTAAACTCAGATGAAATAAGAAAATAAAGCTTCTAACTTTAATAATGGATTTTAAAAATTAATCCTTATTTCTTAATCTAATAAAACTTTTCAAAAATTAATATATTAATTATATAAAATATTATATAAATTATTTAAAAATTTTTAATTTCAATAATATTTTCAATATTATGCTCTAATTTATAAACTATTTAAATTTTAATACATTTAAAAAATTATTATTAAATACATGTATATTATCATTATAGAATACAATGATAAATTTAATAAAGAATTTTATTCTTAATATATTAATTGTTATAGTAATATTTGATAATATTTTTTCCTCGAATATTTTTTCTATAATAATATTGTAATTATTCGATAAAATAAAATAATTATTTTTAATTATTTTAAACATGTTTTGTATATATAATATATTTTTTATAAAATCTATAAAAAAATGTATATTTGACTTTTCCATAAATATTATAACTATATAACCTATAATAAATATTTTGAATACAAAATATTTATAAGTTATCATTATATTATAGTTTGTAATAGAGAATTTTAGATCATGAAAAATCTTTCTCAAGAACAATATAGTTAATATTATAGTTATTATAATTGTATTTATAATTACACTTTCTTTATTATAAAGTACATTAATTAATAGTACTTTTCTTATCAATGTTTTTGTAATTCGTATAGAATAAGAAATTGTAAGTACAGTACTAAATATTAAAATAATGAATCTTATTAAATTCATGTTTTTGCATATATAAGATTCAATTATTATATCTTTTGAATAGAAACCTACAAAAAACGGAAATCCGCACATTATTATCAATGATATAATTATAATTTATATTGATGCCTCATAGTAATTAAAAAACCAGAAGTAACTAAAGTGAATGTGTTTAGAAGTGGAATTTCATTGTAATTAAATACTGTAATTATCTTTGGAGGTCATGTCATATCAATATCGATTGTTGGAGAGATTGATCTGTGAAAAAAAGTTCAGAAAAAAGAGATAAACAAGAATAGCTCCGATAAAATGAACATAATTATTCTGAATTTCAGTATGCTCATAACGGTAAGAGTATGGTTTCCCATGAATGTACTTTCACGAATGATATCTCGATTCCATATAATTTTGATAATACACACATTAAATAATATAACTGACATAATTAATAATTTTTTTCATATTAATTCAAAGAATGATCCTAATTAGTAGATTCATTAGATAAATGACATAATGATAGGCCATGGACTGTTTTTAACTATAAAGTATGGGAAATTTTTTTTCATTATTTTTAGTTTGACTCCTTGAAGTAGAGTGTTATTAATACTGAAAATACGTAGGCTTGAATAACTGATATGGAAATTTCAAGAATCAATAATGTGTTCTGGGTTATAATTCTTACAAGTATGAGATATAGAAAATTCATCATAAAATTTCTTAGTAGAATAAGGATTAGATGTCCTGAGATTAGGTTTGATGAGAGTCGAATTGCTAAAGTTATTGGTCGGATAAAGTATCTAATCAACTCAATAATTACTATGAAATTTATTAATGGTTTAGGAGAATTGAACGGA